GAATGGAGGCTGCTTCAGACTCTCTCTCTTTTTTTTTTTAAGATGTTATTTATTTGTCAGAGAGAGAGAGGGAGAGAGAGCAAGCACAGGCAGACAGAATGGCAGGCAGAGGCAGAGGGAGAAGCAGGCTCCCTGATGAGCAAGGAGCCCGATGTGGGACTCCATCCCAGGACGCTGGGATCATGACCTGAGCCGAAGGCAGCTGCTTAACCAACTGAGCCACCCAGGTGTCCCCAGACTCTCTTCTTACCTCCCTTTCTGTGGCTCTCCCACCCTCTTGAAAGACGAAATGAATGAATGAATGAATGAATGAATGAATGAATGAATGAATGAATTCTGGGTGATTCTGATAGCATAGCCAGAGTGGAGAACCTCTGAGCTAGATGGTCTCTCATTGCCCTTTACGTTCTGCAGCACATTTCAGCATGTGCTGAAGCAGAGACAGCGGAGCAGGCCTCTAGGGCCACACCTACCCACCACAAACACAGGTGGCCCAATTCTTTCTTTTAGTAGGCTCCCTGCCCAGTGTGGAGCCCAGCATGGCAGCAGGGGCTTGAACTCATGACCCTACGGTCAAGACTCAGATGCTCGCCAACTGAGCCACCCTGGTTCCCCACAGGGGGGCCAATTCTAATGTCTGTTTTGCTTGCCAGGGTTGGCTCAGTCGGTAGAGCCTGCAGCTCTTGATCTTGAGGTTGTGAGTTCTAGCCCCGCATTGGCTGGGTGTAGAGATTTCTCGGGGTGCCTGGGTGGCTCAGAGGGCTAAGGTTCTGCCTTTGGCTAAGGTCATGATCCCAGGGTCCTGGGATCAAGCCCCGCATCGGGCTCTCTGCTCAGCAGGGAGCCTGCTTCCTCCTCTCTCTCTGCCTGCCTCTCTGCCTACTTGTGATCTCTGTCAAATAAATAAAATCTTAAAAAAAAAAAAATCTAGGGTGCCTGGGTGGCTCAGTCAGTTAAGCGTCTGCCTTCAGCTCAGGTCGTGATCCCAGGGTCCTGGGAGTGAGTCCCCCAACAGTCTCCCTACTCAGTGGGGAGCCTGCTTCTCCCTCTCCCTCTGCTGTTCTGCCTGCTTGTGCTCTCTAGCTCTGTCAAATAAATAAATAAAATCTTAAAAAAATGTATTTAAAAAAATTGTTTTGCTATGTATTCACTGGGTGGGCTTATCTGATCCCACCTCTCTCTCTCGTTTTTATCAAAGTTTGGTTTTTTTTTTTAATATTTTTTTTTATCTGTCAGAGAAAGAGCAAGAGTGAGCACAAGCAGGGGGTACAACAGGCAGAGGGAGAAGCAGACTCCTGGCTGAGCAAGAAGCCCGATATGGGACTTGATCCCAGGACCCTAGGATCATGACCTGAGCTGAAGGCAGATACTTAACCAACTGAGCCACCCAGGCATCCCTGACCCTGCCTCTCTTATCAGTAAGGCTGGTGAGAGTTTTGGGTGAGTCACACAAGCAGAAAACATATTAAAAATGGAGTACCATGCAACCTTTCTTACTCTAGTTTTTGCCTTTTCCACAATGTCATATAGTTGGAATCCTACAGCGTGGCTTTCAGGCTGGCTTTTTTCATCAAGCAATATGCATTTAGGTTTCCCCCATATTTTTGTGGCTTGATAGCTCATTTCTTCTTATCACCCTTTGCAGGACTTCCTGGTTGTTTCAAGTTTGGGGAATTACGAAGCTGCAACAAACATCTGTATACAGGTTTTTGCACGGATCTAAGTTTTCAACTCATTTGGGTAAATACTAAGAAGAACGATTGCTGGATCCTACAGTAAGACTATATTCAGCTTTGGAAGAAACTGCCAAACTGTCTTTTCAAGTGGCTGTACCATTTCTGCATTCTCACCAGCAGTGAGAATTCCTGGTGCTCCACATCTCTGTCAGTGTTTGGTAATGTCAGTTTTTGAAATCCAGCCATCCTAATAGGTATGTAATAGGTATGTAATGAGATTTCACTGTTGGTTGAATTTGCAATACCCTAATAACATAATGCTGAGCATCCTTTTGTATGCTCATTAGTCCCCTGTATATCCTTTTTGGGTCAAGTATCTATTCAGATCTTTTGTCCATTTTTAAATTGGGTTGTCTGTATTCATACTGTTGAATAGAGTTCTTTGTAGATCTTTGTGTATGTTGGGGTATAGGCCCTTTATCTGACATGTTTCACAAATATTTTCTCAGTCCTTGGTCTTTTTCATTCTTGTAATAATGACTTCATGGAGAAGATTTTAATGAAACCCGATTTATCAATTCGCTCATGGACTGTGCTTTTGATGTTGTTTCTAAAAACTCATCACCAAATCCAAGGTGACCCAGATTTTCTCCTATTTATCTTCTAGACTAGAAGTCTCTTTTACATTTGGGTCTATGATCCCTTTTGAGTTAACATTTGTGAATGGTGTACGGTGTTTTTTATTTTTTAAAAGATTTAAAAAATTTATTTATTTGACAGACAGAGATCATAAGTAGGCAGAGAGAGAGGGGGAAGCAGGCTCCCTGCTGAGCAGAAAGCCTGACGTGGAGCTCGATCCCAGAACCCTGGGATCACGACCCGAGCCGAAGGCAGAGGCCTTAACCTACTGAGCCACCCAGGCGCCCCTGGTGTACAGTGTTTAAATCCAGCACCACTTATTGAAAAGACTGTCCTTTTTTCCATTGAACTGACTTTGCTCCTTTGGCAAAGATCAGCTGACTGTATTTATGTGGATCTACTTTTGGGTTCTCCACTCATTCCATGGATCTGTTTGTCAAGTCCTTTGCCAGTACCACACTGTCTTTACTATTATAGCTTTATGATAAATATTAAAGTTGGGTAATGCCAATCCTCCTTCGTTTTTCTTTGACTTCATTATTGTTGCTGGCTATTCTGGGTCTTTTGCCTCTCTATAAACTTTAGAATCCATTTGCCAATGTTCTCAAAACTAGTTGCTGGGATGTTGATTAGGATTTCACTGAAGCTATAGATGAAGTTGGGAAGAAATGACATCTTAATAATATTGAGCCTTCCCATACATGAGCATGGGTTACTTCTTCATTTATTTTGATTTTCCTTAATTTCTTTCATCAGCATTTTATAGTTTTCCTCATATAGATCTTGTACATATTTTGTCAGATTCATTCCTAAGGGGTGTGTGTGTGAACAGCTGGGGCACAGGGGATTTTTTTTTTTTTTTAAGATTTATTTATTTGGCAGACAGAGATCACAAGTAGGCAGAGAGGCAGGCAGAGAGACAGAGAGAGAGGAGGAAGCAGGCTTCCCGCTGAGCAGAGAGCCTGATGCAGGGCTCGATTCCAGGACCCTGGGATCATGACCTGAGCTGAAGGCAGAGGCTTTAACCCACTGAGCCATCCGGGTGCCCTGCACAGGGGATTTTTAGGGCAGAAACTATTCTGGATGACAGTGTAATGATGGATACATGACATTATGCATTTGTCAAAACCCACAGAACTATAAAGAAAGTGACCTTATGGGCTTTAGTTAATAATGATGTATTAGTATTGGTTCATTAATTGTAGTAAATGCACTACAGTAATGCAAGATGTTAATAATAGGGGAAACTGAGCCAGGGAGAGAGGGGGATATATGGGAGTCTGTAGTATCCGCGCAACCGAATCTAAGCCTTAAAGTGCTCTGAAAGACAAAGTCTACTTACAAAAAGGATGGGGGGAGTATCAATTCCAAATGAAAGGGAGCCCTGGTGAATGAAGTCTTCCAGTGGCTCCTTCTTGCTTACACGGTCCAGCTTACAGCCCCTCATCAAGCACGGGGAGCCCTCTGCAGCTGGACTGCCCCTTCAGCCCATGAGCCACTCCTCCCTGAACAGTGCAGCTGAACTGAATCACTCGGTCTCCGGGAGGGAACCTGTGACTTTACACTAGTCTCTTGACCTGGGACACTGCCCCTCCCTTGCCTGGTCTGCAAATGTCTTGAGGAAGTTTCTAAAGACTTCATTCTGGGGGTGCCTGGGTGGCGCAGTGGGTTAAGCCTCTGCCTTCAGCTCAGGTCATGATCTAAGGGTCCAGGGATTGAGCCCCGCATCGGGCTCTCTGCTCAGTGGGGAGCCTGCTTCTCCCTCTCTCTGCCTACTTGTGATCTCTCTCTCTGTCAAAAGAATAAAGACTTCATCTTGGACACAAAGAAGTGACACTGGTCCAAAACACCTGCTTCATAACACCACCTACTGTGCTTCTGTTTCTGTCAGGATCTCCTTCCTGTCTCCTGAATTAAACCGAGAATACCCTAGCATACCCTGCTGCCTTCCCATCACGCTGTTCTTTCCAAATGTACAAACAGAAGAATGACAAAATTTCAGTAGTGAAGCTGTTGTTCCCACAATACTGAATCACAGCCCTGAAACTGTGCATCAACAACCTTGGCAGGCCCCAACAAGTTCATAGAGCGCATGGTAGGGGATTTTAAATTTGGGAGACACTCAACATCTGTTGGCTACGGAGAGATCTACTAGTTCAAGGTAGATCACAGTTTCATCATTAGGTTGTGATACATTCCTTTGGTTAGATCATCTTTGAGAAGCTGGGTTTTTGGTGGTCGCTCTTGTAAAAAGCAACTCAAAGTCAGTGTGGAATAGGTAGTAGTGTCCAATGGGATTAGAAAGTTTGAGAAGCTTTATAGTGCCCAAAAGCACACAGATCCCATTAGTTATTGTATTTAAGAATGAAATAAAAATACTGTTTCTTCTAGTTTATAAGTACTTTTTTAAAAAAAAGTGACTTGGTACCACATAGTTCTTATGTAATTTGAGTATAATTACTTGATAAATAGAACTCTTGGGCATTTCTTTTGGTTTAGAGGCTCCATGAGAAAATTACTGAGCCACTAATGCTGGGTGAGTGCTATGAGCTGAGAAAAAGTCTGGGAACCTCTGGTCTAAGATACCCTCTAATCCAGGGCGCATCACATTGTGAAATCCGTTTAGTGGGTTATGGCCAGCCTTTTTTTACCTTAGTAAAACAGAATGGTCACTAGAACACACTGCATGTAGCAACGGTAAATATTATTGTGTAAAGCTTATGTTCATTATATACACACAAATAAGCATGGGTATCTTGGATCACAATGTAAAATGTGTATTTCTTGTTTGGGTTGATTTTAGAAGTTTGAAAAGCCACTAAGACTTCAACCTCCTTGTTTTAGAGATGAGAAAACAGCTTGGAGAGTGAAAGCTGATTACTGCAATTCACAGCCACCGGGGCCAGGCGCTGCTGCACTCAGCCTCGCTGTGCTGGGAGGCCACTGCTCACAGGGATCCTCCAAGGCAGGCCTCATTCTACCCAGCAGAGGTGTGGTTACTCAAAGTCACACAGCTACAGAGGTGAGGATCAGGTACCCTCACTTTGGTTCCAAGACCCATTTGCACCCCACAAATGCCAGCAGCCACACCTAGAACAAAATGGTTTTAATCAATTGCGTCACCCTCACTCTCCTGGGAGCGGAGCAACAAAAAGGCTCGGCTCCTGCCCCCAGAGGACAGTAAGGCTTATGTGTCTCTCCACACTGCAGGGCCCAGGCTGGGCAGGCGCGGGGGGGGGGGGACAGATGGGGGACACAGGACGGGCGGGCAGGAGGCAGAGAGGAAATGGCAGGTGGCTCGAACACAGGAAAGCAAAAGGGGCCCCTGCTGGTCCTTGGGCCCCAGGGCCCAGCCCCAGTACTCCTGCTTTCCCCTCCCTGGCTCGAGAAAGGTCATGGAGAAGAGACAGGGGAGCAAGTCCCAGCAGCAGGAAAAGCAGCAGCAGCTGTTTCCTTCACCAATAAATATACTTCATTACCAAGCTAGAAGAGAGGGGTGGGAGAGGGACTGGGTGGGGAGGAGGGGGGAGAAGCTGCCACCTGTGTTGCTGGGATTAAAGCAATGACGAGATGGTGCCAGACCCCCCACCACTATCCTCACCCGCCGTCTTCTTAAAACTGTGAAAAAGCTTTTAACATGGCCCTCCTGTCTCCAGGGCTGCTCGGAAGCCTGACTGAGAGGAGGCACCTGGCAGAGACCAGGCGGAAGGAGGGAAGGACGGAGGGAGGGAAGAAGGGAGGCTGCTGCTCCCCAGAGGCTGCAGCTGGAGGGCTGGAGCCAAGTAAGCACTGAGGGGAGAAGGAGGGAGAAGGGGAGGAAGGCTGAGCAACTGTCAGGAGCAGCTCCCAGCTGAGAATCAAGGGGGCAGAGAGCGGCTTGGTGAGTGGTGGGGTGACTGCTGTCCAGTGTTAAGCTTGGGGCTGCTGAGGAGGGAGGGGGCCAAGTTAGGGATTTTCCCATCTGAGTGGCTCAGGAGACCCACCCCCCTCCCCCCAGAGCAGCAGGGGGACAGAGAAAAGCCATCACTTCTTTGGTCTTTGTGGCGGCTCAGCATGTGGGGTGGGAGGAAGGGCAGAAAGGACCCTTAGCAGGGAGTGCCACCTCAGCAGAGTGGGCCTGGCTGGGAGCTCTGGCAGAAAGGTCACAGTGAGGCCAAGGAGCCCCCAGAAAGGGCAGTGGGAGTGGTCATAGTGCAGTGCAGAAGGCTATGGCGTGGTGCCCCACCCTCTGCCAGGGCCCTTGGGAAAGGCTAAGCCCCCAGAGGTGGCCAGTGAGCGCAGGCGCAGGGTCTGGAGCCAACACTGGGAGAAGGGCGAGGACACTCTCCTGCCCAGGCAGGGGCCTGGCCTTGCCTACTGTAGGACTCCCACCTTCCTTCGGCTTCCACCCTGACATGGTGGCTCTGGAGGGAGGGTGGGACCCCATCCTTTTTCAGAACCTTCCCTGAAGCCACAGAGGAGCTAGCCTTGCCCGTAGGAGCAAGAGTGGCAACAGGTCAAGGCTAGCCCTTACGGACTGGAATTCCACTCCCCTTCCTGCCGCCAACTGAAGTGTAGGGCAGTCCTTGAAGACAGCTTTGGCCCTTGCCTCCCAACCTGAGGCGGGCTAGAGCCCTCCAGGGATATGGGAGGTGGGTGGTGTCTGCAGGGGCTTCCCCTCCTGCTCTTCTGCTCAGAGCTGAGGCCAGTCAAGGGGCAATCTGCCCCAAAGTCTGAAAGCCAGCGAGTTGTAGCAACCCCCCACCCCCAATGCCAAACTAACAACAAAACAGGGAAATGAAAAAAATGGGTGGGGGGAAGACAAACCAAAACAGAACCCCCTGACCTCCTGCCCATGGTGGAGGGTCCAGCCAGTAGCAGAGGCTGGGGACCAGAGCTTGGAGGGTCTAGCTGGGCCGGCACTGAACCTGGCCCTCGGAGCTGTCCTCGTCATCAGAGGCCCCCGCACCCCCACTGCTCAGGCCTGTGATCCGGTAGCCCATGTTGAGCAGCATCACCTCCAGTGGGTCGGCGTTCATGCGCCGCTGGTTGGCCTGGGAAGCACCCTCCATGTCCTCCACAACCCGGCCTGTGAGGTCTTCGCTCTGTGGGGAGGGCACACATAGCACCGGGAGAGAGGTGTGTGGGGAGGTTGGCAAGCGTGCTCGCGCGCACACGCGCACACACACGCACACACACGTGCGCACACACACACACACACACACACACACATACAGATGGGGCAGTATACGTAGAGGTGGCTGGACACACCAAGAGATGTACGTGGGGCTGTACGTATAATCCTATGTAGATGCGGATGCCAGGGAACCCACATATGGGGATACGTACAGGACACGTGCTCACCAGGATACAGATATGAGGGAGACACGCCATGTGGGGTTATACATACGGGGCCCATCTGGTAGTACACACTGGGAGGGGACACAATACACTGAGATATATATGGAGGTGCACATGCTGGGATACACACTGGGGGGTCATACCCCTATTGGGGTATATATTGGCGGGGCCCCATACAGGAAATGGTGGGGCTTACCACATGGGGGGCCCCATACATGGATATATGTGGGAGGACTCACACCAGGGTCTGTTGGGCACACCTATTAGATACCCAGGGCAGGAGGAACAGGCAACACCCCCCATCCTACTCTTCTGTCATCACTCCCAACAACCCTTCCTTTATCCTCCTTTTTCTCTCCCCTCATGGGAGAGGTCTGTAGGGTTCTCTTTAAAATTCACAGTAAATTGCCTCTGTAATTAGATACACCACTTGACTTCTGTTTTGCTGGCTAGAAAGGGGAGGGAAGTGGGGCAGAGGGCAGTGGAGGCCTCAGGCCAGCCTGCCTGGCTACCCACCCTGGGAGTAGAGGGGACCACATCCTCCTAAGTGTCCCTGTGGACCGGACACTTCACAGGCATCACTTCTTTATCCTTAAAGCAAACTTTTGAGGTGGTGCTGTCATACCCATTCCAGTGGGTATGACATCCTGGGTTAAGTCCCTTAGGCAGTGAGTGAAGGGACCAGGATTCAGACTTAGGCTCACCAAGATTCCAAAGCCTGCATACTTCCCATGTAACCAAGGGACTGGCTTTTGTCCAGCTTCTGGGGGACACAAGACAGTGGTATATGAGGTCCCTAGGGAGCCCCTGAGGGACTGTTCGCATGAGGTGGCACTGGGGCTGCTCCAGTTCCCTCCCAGCCTCCTGCACCCTGTCCTTCGTTACTGTTTCCTGTATGGGAGTCTCATCCTCTCAGCTTGCTCAGGAATGTGCCTTGAGAAGGCAGGTGCCTACTCTTCCCCCTGGGACTGCCTACTGTATTTGGAATTGATGGCTCCGACCTTGACACAGTGCTGGGCCCTCAGGTAGGAGTTCACTCATCCTAGCGGCTTCCATCTCTGAATGACTCATTTCCCTCCCTAATCCTCCCAGGCTCAGCCGGAGGCCTCGCACATGGTCCAGCCCAACCTTTGTCCCTGTCCAGTTTTGGCCATTTTCTCCACACCCTCACCTCTGGCCGGGGGTTCCAGAGCCGCACAACAGGGTCAATGCCGCTGGTGGCCAGGAAGCAGTAGCTGGGGTGTGGCTGCAGGCAGTTGACGATGGACTCGTCTCCTTGGAGCACGCGGACCAGGTTGGTGGTCTCCTTTTCCCAGATGAAGAAGGAGCCATCGTCAGAGCCACTGACGATGTACTGAGCGTTGCTGGCAGAGGGGCAAAGGGCAGGGAGGTCAGGTGGGGTACTGCCCTACAGCCTCAAGTAGAGGCTGTACGGCTTAGGGCAAGGGGAGCAGGGAACTCTGGGGTCTTCACTTGACTCAGAACTCCCACACACGGCAATCCTCTCCATACTGCAGAGCCTTAGTCGCTGTCTAGCTATTAAGCTTAAGATCAGGGACTGCTTGGGTGCCTCCAAGATACTCTCCCTCAACACATATTATAAGCTCCCTGGGTGCAGGATCAATCCTGCATCTCTTCGATCTCTGGGAACACTCTTGTCTAAGCCTTCCCCAGCAGTCCTCGCTTCCCGGGTCCACAACCCCCTTACACACCACTGACACTTAGAGGGGATCTTGATGGTGAGACTCTCAACACTCAAGGGTTTCACTTACCCCAAGAAAGTATACCATATACAAAGGAGGGTTGGGGGTAACAGGGTCTGAAACATGGGCTATGTCCCTCAGTACCGGGGGCACAGTTCTGAGAACACAAGTGTGCTAAGACTGCCAGCTTTTGAGGGCTCTGGCCTCATACCCCAGCAGAGGGAAGCTCCAAGCATCCACATCAAGACCAAGCTCTGGCACATGGAGACAGAGGGAGAGGAGGCAGGGGATAAAGGCAGAGTCCAGACCCCATGCTGGATGCTCTGTGGATTACCTCACAAATCCTCATTATGGCCCCATGAGTGGGGATGGCTGGTTTCATTTTATAGATGAAGAGACAGGCCCACAGAGGTGAAGCCATTTGGTCAAGGATACAGAGGCAGAACTGGGATTTGAGACTTTTCTGAAAGCATTATGCCCCCCGCCCCAGTCTCCTGCTGCCAACCAGGCTGTGCCCTCCTCCTCTTCAGGGCCTCGGACCTGCCAAAGAAATTGGCCTCCTTGATATCCGTGGTGGTGTTGCAGTGGCCGCAGTAGCGGAACTGGTAGTCGTAGCTTCGCTCCCGCAGCACCATCTCATCCTCCGAGATGGAGTCCTTGCGGCTCGTGCTGCGGAGGCGAACAGGGCCGCCGCCGCCACCGCCGGCTCCCTTCTTCTCCTCTAGGGGCAGAGAGCAAGGAAAGGTGAGACCTGTCCTTATTTTCCCTTCCCTACCTTGTCTCTACCCCTGACCCTGTTTTCAGCTCAAGTGCTGACAATGTAGGGCTATCTGCCTCTACCTCCACCCTCGAAAGCTGGGAATGACTGTAAGGAAGAAGCATTTTTGGACCTAACCCTTGAGGATGTTCAAGAGGGGACTTCGGATGCTAGAAGGGCCTTTGCTCAGGTCCCAGAACAATGTCTGGAAGCCCCAAGGATGCACAGGCCCACAGTCTGTTTCTGTGGAGTAAGAGGCAGGGAGGGGAAGGTGAAGCACTACTGAGAGACTTGAAGGGATAATTTTTCTAAGTAGACCCACAGCTCTGAAAGGAGTAAAGTCCAAGCCCTTCCTCACTGGAAGATGAGTTATAGATCCCAAATGAGGCACTGATCAGTTTAGTGCCTTGGGTAAAATCACAACAGTTTTCTCAGTGCCTTAAAAGTGCCTTGATTCTGCCTGCCTCAGGGCCTTTGCATGTGCTGGTTCCTAGGCCAGAAATCTTTACTTCCCACAGGTATACTTTTTTTTTTTTTTTTTTTTAAAGATTTTATTTATTTATTTGACAGACTGAGATTACAAGTAGGCAGAGAGGCAGGCAGAGAGAGAGGAGGAAGCAGGCTCCTTGCTGAGCAGAGAGCCCATGTGGGGCTCGATCCCAGGACTCTGAGATCATGACCTGAGCCGAAGGCAGAGGCTTTAACCCACTGAGCCACCCAGGCGCCCCCAACACAGGTATACTTTTTATTTAGTTACCTCTTCTTCCCCATCCCTGAGATCTCAGATTAAATGTTTCCTCCTCCAGAACCCTAGCCTGACATTAAGCCCTGCCCCAGGCACCTGTACCGTATCAGTCCCCCATGGCACTCATCACATTGTTTCTTCTTCATTGCTTGGTTCCTTCGCTAGGGCTGTAAACTCCACGAATCCCATCTGATTTGTCCACAGCTGTACACCCACAACCCAGCACAGTGCCTAGCATGTGGTAGATGCTGGATAACTACTCAAACAATGGTTACATGGTTAGTAAATTGCATAGGAGAGAGGTGAGGGTCCATGTCTGCCTCCACTGAGTTTCACCACAAATACCCAGCTCACCCTCCAATGCTACTGAGCAGAGCTGGACAGGGCTTCAAATGAGCTCTGTGGAGGCAAGGCAGTGGGGTCAGGGAGGCTGTGCGTTACCTTAGGTCACACGGTTACCACATGGCAGAGCTGCATGTGTGAGGCATTTCCACTGCCCTCCACTGCTGCCTCTGCTGCAAGCAGCCCAACTGGAAGGAGTACAACCCCCCACAGCTGCCTCTTACTCAGATGTCCAATGGAACAGCTAAGACCCTGTCTCTGTGAGCAGGTGAGAAGGCCCAGCTGGAGCTATGCAGACGGCCTGACTGGGCTGTTTCCTCCTGTCCTGAGTCCTAGGCATTAAGCCAGGTGCTTTAAACATACTATTGTTAATCCTCAAGAGAAACCCTAAATGGGAGGTGCTATCATTCCCCCTTTACAGATGGGGAAACTGAGTCTCAAAGAGACCAAGTGAGTATCCCAACCTCACATAATTTCTGAATCAGCCTAAAAATCCAGGCCTCTCTAATCTCAGAACCATGTCTTCTCCAGCATGTCACACAGGACCTCAAAGTAACAGCAACCCCTCCTCAGTGCCCACTCACCACCATCAGTTTTGGAGAAGAGGGCTGCCGTGATGTCGCGGCCCAATGCGTCACAAGCGCTGCTGTGGGCCTGCTCCGGAAACTTCCCTTTGAAGTCATCCAGGCACTCCAGGGCCTCAGCCACGTACTTGAGCTCAAAGAGGCAGCGGGCCAGGCGGAAGTGTGCCTTCAGGTGGCACGGGTTTAGGGAGATGGCCTTGAGGCAGTCTCTCAGGGCATCGTAGTGGTCACCATCCCTGGGAAGGCAGGGGAGTGTGGCTTAGAGGTAGGACCGTGTGGCAAGCAAGGAGTCCACCCAGTCTCCTCTGAGGTGGGCCACCTCAGCCCACCTCTGACAGATCTCAGGGCGAGGGTGCTTGTAAACGAAAAGAACCCTGGCTCAGCCCAGACCCTGCTCCCCAGGAGACAGAGTATGTTAAGGAGATGAGTCAGGAACCCTGAAGTCTTGGTGGGGGATGGAGGGATGGAGTGCACGCACCAGGGTGCGCGCATGTGTGAAAGAAAAAAGTGTCAGGCTGCCCTCTGCTGGGCACAGAGTGCAACTGCGCACTGGCTCACCCCAGGCCCCTGCAGCTCTGCAGCAGAAGGCCTGGCATCTTGCCCACTTCAGGCTCCCCAAGCCTTCCTTCTCTCTTCCTCCAACTACCTCCTCAAATCCCCCCGGCTGGTCTTCAAAGCCCTGGCCAAGGCAGGGGGCCCTCAAGGACAGTTCGGCGGTCTGGGGAAGCCAGAAGTGCCAGGCTGGGGACTGAGGGTCTGACCAGCAGGCAGCAAGCCCTCAGCCAGACCCCCCTCTGTCCTGGCTGACTGATCCACAGCAGCTGTGGCCTCTACCTCCCGGGGCTGAAGGATGGGGCCTGACAGACTGGCAGAGTCAGCTCTCTGGAAGCTGATGGCGAAGGGGGGTGTGCACGCCAGGAACTCCAAATCATCCCCACTCACTACCTTCAACCTCCCAAAGCATGGATGAAGGGAAATGGGGATGGTTTTCAGTTTTCGGGGGGACAGCAAGAAGGGAGGGATCTTAAGGAAGTCCCCTGCTCTCCCACCCTGTGCCAGAATATAGGATACACTTCTCCCGTACCCCTCATCTGTTCCCACCTGTCGTTTGTAGATCCAGACAGGTCACAGGACTTCTCCTTTAGTACCCTTCTCGCCACCCCCCCTTTTCCCTGCTGGGCTGAGAGGGGCCTAGGACCCAACTGTGACAAGCAGCATTCCCCAGAACTGATGCTCTTTCCACCAAGGCATAGCTCACAACCCTCCTGCACAGGGTCAAAGCAGCCCCGACAGGGGAAATGTCCTCCTGACCCTCCTCTCCTACAGCACTCAGAGCGAGCATCCAGCCCTTGCAAAAGCCATGCTCAGATCCGGAACAAGCAGCTCACCAGCGTGGGAGCAGGCAGGGGACAGAGTGCTTTGAAGGCATGGCCTGCGTCAGAACGACTGGCTGTGATGAAGGAGCAGGCACTGTTTGGAAACCCAATTACCACCTGCAAAGTGCACCTCAGAGCTCCTGGAGAGAGCCAGACAGAGACCAACCAGGAGCCAGAGGGTGACAGCTCCCACTGCACCCAGGAGCAGATGGCAGCCCTGGAGAGACTGGCCTGGGACAGAATACGACATTCTGGGGTCACTGGCAGGCATGTGGGGATGGGGAGAGAGTAGGCTGGCCCTAGGGTTCACCCATCCACCAGACTCTCTGCCAGATCAATCTCCCTGAAAGGACAGCCCTCAGCACATCCCTCTCCTGCTCAGAACCCTTCAGTAGCTGCCCATCACCCCACTGAATCCAGGCCAAAACAGCCACCGCTCTGCATTCCAAGTCCTTCCCAGGCCGGCCCCAGGCTACCTCACAGACTCATCTCCTGCCAGTCCCTTCCAGAACCCTCTGCTCCAGCCAAATGGATTTGTTGTTCTGCAAACAAGCTCTTCAGTCAGTCCCCCACCCCCACGCCTTTGTTCGCACCATCTCTCTGGGAATGTCCTTCCCCCATAATCCCCTCCTCCTTTTCACTTCCTTGCCTAAGTCTGCCCACACTTAAAGCCCATCAGACACCTCATCTTCCTGACACTTCCCTGACCCCAGCTGAAGTGACTTAACTTTTCTTAGTGCCCACAGCCTTTTACCTGACCACACAAAGACTCACTGCTTCCTGACTCTTTGACAATGAGAACCATGATCATGTCTTTGTCCTCTGTCCAGAAGCTGGGGACTCGGGAGCACAGGAACTCAAAGTGAAGAACTTTGTGTCCCTGGTATCTAGTGCATAGTAGGAGTTCAGAGAACATGTCAAGGGCTTTATCAGCCTCTCTTAGCAAGAATGCAAGAGTGAAACAGCTCTCAGTCTAAAGCCTGGATGGGGACACTGCGTATTCTACCCAGCTCTTGGGACGGAGAGGCCAAACACCTCAGGATGGCCCCCAAACCATCACCTCCTCAGTCAGGTTACCATCTGAGTCTTTGGCAAACTCTTAACGCCTGAGCTCAGGCCAATGGGGTAGCATCTTCCCAAACCCCCATCTACCATCCTGTTAACTTGGGTGGGTTTCTTAAGCTTCCCTCTCTGGCCTGCCTTGTTGCAGCCAGACGATGGCACACCAGCTGGCCTGTCTGTCTGGGCAGAGCCGACGGATGCCAGACGGAGCAGAAATGGCTGTGGGCCCAGCTCTATCCATCTCCAGTCCTGGCCCCGGCTGGGGGATGGGGCCTGCTTGCCTGCTGGTGCTGCAGGCAGAAGGGCTAGGAGCCCTGATGGTCTCCAAAGATAGCGGGTTCTTCAGGATATGGACCCCACCCCTTTACCACCAGCCACTATGACCCAACATGACCCACAGCCAGCTTCAGATCTCTGGTATCTTGTTTGTGCTTAGTCCAATGATCTAAGAGCATAGAAAAGCAAGCTCCAAGGTCAAGGAGCTGCAGAATCAATTCAGACAGGTACCAACTGAATTCACCAAATGCCTCTTTCCTATGTAGCAAGAATCCCACTGTTCCTTCATAGTCCCAATTCAAGGCACAATTATCCAACAGTTGGGATTAATCAATCTCTCAAGTCCTACTTATCCAGTGGCCACATCACTTTATAACAAAACACCACTACTTAACAAAACTATTTCACTGTGACCTTCCTTGGTGGTTGAGAATTCCTGGCTTCCAGTCTGGAGGTGGGGAGAAGCAGCCTGGGGCTAAGGAGCCCTAAGAGGCAGTGGGATGCCACTGCCACTTTCCCTGGAGGCCTCAGCAACTTGACTCCATCAGGCCCCCTGCCTTCATCCCCCGTCCTAAGGTCCGCTCACCACTTGCGCTTCATGTAGGCAGCAGCTCGGTTCCCGTAGAGCATGGCGTTGTGAGGGGCCCTCTGCACGGCCTTGCTGTAAAGCTGAATGGCCTGGGTCCACTGCTGGCAGGCAAAGGCCTCGTTGGCTTGCTGTTTCACGCGCTCCAAGTATGGGGGCAGCTCTACCTGGGGACTACGGGGAAGGAGAGCCAAGTTAGGCCAGCCAAAGAAGGTCAGAGCAGCCTCTCAGGAAGTCTATAGCCTTGCCTGAGGGCCACCTGTTATTTTCTTGGTCCCTGGGGTCTGCACTGTCATTTAGAAGAGGGGCGCACTTCCATCCTTGGCCTGGGTTACTACAATAGGTAATGGGCAGAAGTCCCGATACTCTGAACCAGTGAGAAAACAAGAGGAACAGAAATGAAGCTGTCATGGACAGGTAAAAGGCAACTCTCTCTCTCTTTTTTAAAAGTAAGCTCTAAGTAAACTCTATGCTCCCAACATGGGGCTCAAACTCATGACCCCAAGATCAAGAGCTGCATGCTCCACTGACTGAGCCAGGCAGGCACCCCAAAGGCGATTCAATTTGATTCTATTTATTAGAGAGAGTGCGAGTGTGTGTGAGCTTGCACATGCGAGTGGGGAGTGGGCAGAGGGAGAAGGAGAGAATCTCAAGCCAACTTGTGCTGAGTGCGAAGTTTGACAGGGGGCTCAATTTCAAGAGCCTGAGAGCATGACCTGAGCTATAATCAAGAGCTGGATGCCTAACTGGTTGAGCTACCCAGGTGCTCCCCAAAGGCAATTCTTAGTCAAACTCCTGAGCATGATAGTAGCTAACCACCCACCTCCACACTGAGCTGAACCTTGTGACCACCCAAGTTCCTCCCATGTATCTCTCTATAGAGACTTCTGTTTCTCTCAAAGTTTAGAGGCTTTGAACACCTCTATACCAAAGCCCAGCATTGGGCCTGGTAGTGACTAGAGGCCAAAAGATAGTATGGGACAAAGAAAAATATAATGGGGGAAGAACATCTATGTAGAACACCTTTAAGAGAGAGCTCAGTACTAAGAGACAGTTGATCCCTTGGTCCTGACCCAGCTACGGATACCAAGGGACTGGAACTTCAGTCTGAGCATGACTGGAATCCTACCAGGTAGGAGCAGTATTGGAACCACTAGCCACATCCATAAATACTCCATTACTCCATTATATCCCTTGCCCCAGACCCCAGACTTGGAAGTATGTACCTGGATGGAAGGTTTAAAAGACATGCTCTTCCCTCCGATTCTATCCCTCCAATTACACTGTAAGGTACCATAAGGTGTAATTGGGACTGGAAGGGCTGGACAAGTCAGACTGGCCTCACCTGACATGTTCCCTACTCTCCGGCAGGCGGAAGCCATTGCTATGAAGGTGCAGGCCATTGGACACGCCGTTGGATACACCATTGGTGGACATCTTGCCGTTCTGAACTTCTGGCAGGAATGGGGAGAAAGAACAGCAACAACTCAGGAGAAATTCCCCATTGCTCCTCAGCAGCCCTCCAACTTCCATCTCAGGATCTGATGGTTCCACTGTGGGCCATCCTCCTGAGGTGAGACTCCTTCCCAGAAAGCAAGTTAGGACACAGGCAGGCAAGTGCATAAAGAAAAGTCTGTGCGCCCTCTGCTGGTTGGAGAGGGACATAGCTTTAACTTGGCATTACCCTTAGGTGGGATTTGGGGGATTGTGGGGCGGGCGGGGGTGTGTGTGTGGGCGGGGGAGAACAGGACTTGTAGAGGTGCCTAAATCAACTGCAGGCCCCAGGAAAGAGTTAGTGAGGAGACTGACCCAGGATGAGAAAGGAAGGGCCACTACTTGAGGTCCTCCAGAGACAAGCCACGGAAAGTGCTTTTTCAGAGGGAAGATATCTCTGACCTACTGTTCTCTTCCTTCTTACTGTACACAGATCGTTCTTTCAGAGAATCTAGTCCTTCTGGGGCACAGCCACAGCACAAGGGAAGAGGCAGCTTTCTCAGCAGAAGTGGCAAATGCTCAAGCTCCCCAGCAGAGATAACCCTACCCCAAGAAAGAACTTACCCCCTGAGGAGTGGCATTTTCTAGGCAAGAGAAAGGTGTACGGCCGCTGCTTGTAAGTCAGGTCAAACAAATAGACCTAGGGTGGAAGGGTCAAGAAAAGAGATGGAGGCTGTGAGGTAAGAAAGTGGCCGGCCAGAAGCAAGGCCTTGGTGGCTTGATGGCTCTCAGGAACACAGTGAGTATTGAGTAGGGAGCCATCCTGCAAGGCCAGGAGGTGTTCTACGGAACAAACCTCAGACAGGAACATCTTCCCAGTTCCCAGTCCCGAGGGTGGACTGCTTAAAACACCGCCATTAATTAGAATCACGTGTTTAAGTTTGAAAGGTCCTCAGAGGTCACAAAGCCAAATTTCTCATTTTATAGTTGGGAAAACTGAAACCTCAGAGAAGGGAAGCAATTTGCCCAAAGCATCACTGCTACTTACTTGTCTCAGTGAACATCAAATTATCTATTATTATTTAACGTTTTTTCAATTCTTACTTTACTTTAGGAACTTGGCTAAATGTTTTATAGGACTTACCTCACTTCATCCTAGAAACCACCTCATAAAGAAGTACTATTATTTTTTTAGTTTATTGTTTTTAGTTATCTCTATACCCAACACAGGACTCTGAACTCACGGCCCTAGGGATCAAGAGTTGCATGCTCTTCTGACAGAGTCAGCCAAGTCAGCCCAAGAAGTACTATTATTATCACCCCCTTTACAGACAAAGAAATATGGGCTGACCCTTTATTTACCCACGGCCATAAAAGTAGTAGGTGGCACAGCCAAGACCCAAAACCAAGTCTGTCTGGCTCTAAGCCACTCTGCTACACTGCATCGCTATTCATCCTAATGCTACCTTCAGGTCAGGTGATGGCTCAGCGATCTGAAGCCAGGACCAGTTCTCCATCCCAGTTCTCTGGTACATAGTCCGCCTTGCCTTGTTCATCAACTGCTTCACCTGCCATGTCTCCCGTCAACCTGCGCTGGATCATATTTCACCTCTGTCTCCTTCATGTTTATAATAATGCTAGTCCCAGAGTAAGTGCTCAGTGAATGTTTGTAGAATAAATGGATTTAAGCAAGGCTTACTAAATATCCTGACCGAGAACATGCAAAGAGAAGGGTTAGTAGCCTGCCATTACCAAGGAACACTCCTACAGCCCGACTCTGAGCCCCAGGGTTTCCTCCTAGGAAAATGGAGGATGAGGAAACCGAGGCTCAGAAGAACGAAGACCCTCACAGTTCAAACTCCCAGTACACAGAAGGCCAGCATTTGAAGACCGGTCCGTCAGTTCTAAAGCTTCAGAAAAAGCCAAGGCCAGGGCACCTCTCTGGGAATTCCAGTGATGCCAGGTTGCTCCTACATTTCACTATGAAGTAATTTACAATAAGGCTGCTGCTTGTCTGCCTCATGGCAGTGGAAGTGAGGTGTTAAGCCCTGGCTGCTGACTGTAGGGTGAAGGAGGGCAGGGCTACCTTGGGCAGCCATACATACCTGCTCCCCTCCCATGTTGACCAGCAGCTCTGTGCCATTGGGGCTGAAGGTCACATAGGTGGCAACCAACACTCTCAGACGGTTGTTGTAATCAGGCAGCTTCACGGGCAGGTGACCTGTGGGGAGCAGCTCAGTTACCCTAATGTGAAGCTCCCTGTCTTCCCCCAGAGGGGCAGGGAGTTGTGTGAAGCCAATCATATCCATAATGGTAGCAATTACCTTCATCCTAAAAGCAGCTGCGAGTGTTGAGCACTCACTACATGCACTAGGCTAACTGCTTTATGTACTTTATTTCATTTCATCATTACAGTGCCATTTTATGGAAAAGGAATTAAGACTCATCAAGGGGAAATGCTTTGCCAAAGGTCACAGGATGGCTGGTCAGTGGCAGTCAGGATTAAAGCCCACATCTGCCTTACTCTAAAACCCTTTCTCTTGACCACCATGCCATGCTACCTCCCCGCACCACCCCAGACAGAGTCAGCACCCAGCCAAGAGTGCGGGGCCAGGGCTGGACTGAGCCCTACCTGCTACGTAATACTGGGCGGCACCATCCGGAAGGGGCTTCTGCCGGTCACAGAAGGTGTGGACACCTGCCGAAGGGCTCTGCTTCATGCTCTTCCTGGTGGGAAGGCAAACCATATAGGTTATAACCCCTAGCACTACCCTTGAGTAGTCGAGATCACAATCCCTAGAGGAAAACCTAAATTTTTACCTCTGAAAGGAGATACTTTTCTTCCTTACCTGAGCAATCCCAAAGATTCACCAACTAGACAGCCATGGCCGTACACATTACAGTGCTTTACAGGTAGGTCCTATCCATTGTCTTGGTCCTCATGACCACCCTATTATTCTCATTTTACAGATGATGGAGTTAAGGTTCAAGGTCCACTCCATGTCATGTAGTGTATGAGGAGCAGTAGTGGTTGCCCAAACCCACAAATGAAAGTCTAGCAGGCCAGACACCCCTGTGCCTGTCCCAGAAGTTGACTGAAAACCCAGGCTGGCAGAGCTGCTCAGGTCTGGGACTTAGGTGGAGGTTCTGAGTATATTATACATTTGTTTAAAAAGAATAATAAAATTAAATGTACAAAAAAGAATTACATGTATAAGATTATAACTCTGCACAAATACTCATAGTAAGAGAACAAGCAGAAAATATTATACACAGTGATTTGTTTCAGGTGATGGATTATGGGTAGTTTTTTCATTATATTTTCCGTATTTTACAAAATAAACATGGATTACATTTTTTTAAAAATCACAAGAATTTAAAGACCCATCTCAGAAAGAAGAGGGCATGGCAATGAGGGAAAGGGGCAGCAGGTTCCCAGGGACCTGGCCATGGGCGGCCGAGCTATTCATACCTGTGGTTATGAATCATGCGAATGTCATAGAGCCTCACAAAGGGCCCACTGGCCCCTACTGCCAGGCAGTTGTTGTCCTGGGGGTTGACGGTGAGGCACTTGGCCTCCACCAGCTGGCCACAGTACTCTGTCAGGTCAATCAGCACCTCCGAGTGTTTGCTGTTCTCCCGAAGGTCATACTGGCTGTGAGAGAGGACAGCGTTAGGGGATGGGGGTTGGGTCCTCCTGTGAGGCAGGGGAGAAGCTAAGGCCTTGTTATACAAAGGGACTGAGAGCAGCTCTGACCTGTTCCTAAATAATAAGAATATCAAAAACCACTACTTCTTTTATTTTTTTTTGAAAGATTTTATTTTTAAGTCATCTCTACACCCAGTGTGGGGCTTGAACTCAGGACCCTGAGATCAAGAGTAGAATGCTCCTCTGACTTAGCCAGCCAGGTGCCCTGAAAAACCATTCCCATTTCTCCAGTGGTCACGATGGGCCAGGCACCTGAAATAGACTTCTCATACAATCTGTTTTATTCTTTATGTAACTATTTACGGTAAATACTACTGTAATGTTTTTTGTTTGTCTTTTACAGGTGTCAGTGATATTACTATTAAGTACTATTACTACCGATTACTAAAAATGAGAAACTGCTTTGTGTCCAGTACTATCTGTAAATGTTGTACATGGATTATCTAATTAAATCCTCATGCCATTCCCAGGTACCATTAGAACACTGAGGCTGAAGGCAGCTAAACAGTCTGTCTGGGATGACACTGCCAGTAAATGTGAAGTTGGGATAGTGCAGAGCTGGGGAGACAGCCTTTAACCACCTGGCTCCGCTCCTTAACTCCACTTTTCATCTAATTTCTTACAGGAAACGAAGAAGTATGGAGGTGAATGAAAGGAGAATCTAGAGGTCACCTAAGAGCGATCTAGAAACACTTAGCATCAAGACAAGCCTGAGTCCCACTCAGGAGGTTAAAGGTCATGTCAGACTTCCCCGGCAGCAGCACCCCCCTCACGGCAGTTTGGAGGACTGCTGTGCTGCCACTACACAGGCACAGAGAATGGGGAGGATATGCCCCGTGTGCTCACCCACCTCCTGCCTAGACACTGGCAATAATCTCCACCCTGTCCGCCTCACCTTTCTATGCCGACCTCATCAGATTGCTCTTCCTAAAATACTGTTTTTGTTACATCACTCTCGTGCTCAAAAACCTGAGAAGATTCCTCAATACTTCTAGCTTACTGTTAGTAAACACTGACCAAACTCATCAGTCTGGTTTTTAAGACCCAATTTCAAACTAACATCATCCCTCAGCTTTCTAACTGCGCCGATGACAACTATCCCCCATATGGCTATCTTACCCCTGCCTCTACGAACTCTGCTCAAGTTGGGGAGTCCACTCAGCTTTTCCTTGCCCATCCAAATCTTGCTTATTCTGCAAGGTCCAGTGTATGCTCACCTTCTGCTAGGACACCTTCCCTGACTGTACCTTTGCCTAAGTGCCACTCAGGCTCTGACCCTAGATGCTTAGCCTCTCCCTGCTGCCCTGGCACAGTCTGGTTAGTCAGGGTCAACAAGGGTAACACGGAATTGTACCTGCCACTGACCAAAGTGCTTTTTGTCTTCCAAGTACTCTCCTAAGGTTTTATAAGCACTATCTTGATCTTAATGCTCAGGCCAAGGGAGATATTATGATAATTTCCATTATAGATGATGAAACTGAGATTCAGGGATAAAGTGACTTGCCCCAATACTGAGTGACAGAGGTAGGACTTGATCCCAGGTCTGTCTGACATCAGTGCCCTGTTTCTAACTGCTGTTTTATAGTTCATGCAATCTAGATCTCACTTCTTTTTTAACGGGGAAGAGGGTATAAAGTCCTACAAGATCTCAAGGGAGACATTAAATCAGGTTGGAGAGACAGGGAAAAAGTTCTAAAGTCACCTCTGAAGAAAGGAGTTAAAGGGCAATGAGACCATTTTAGGATGAAGGAAAGTAGAGGCAAAGTTGTCATAACCTAGGTCACTGGGAAGAGGGAAAGCCCACGTGACCATTTCTGGCTGGCTATCCCTTTCTCACACATATGCCCACTGATCAACTCTTTGAGAGAATGTATCAAGCACCTCTACGTACTAGGCAGTGCTGGGCTTCAGGAACAAAACCAGGGATGAGAGAGAGATGGAGATGCTCTGGCAGCTCACTGTTCAGTGAGTGATACAGACAAAAAGATAAACCAATGAGTAAATAAAATAAAAGAACTACAGATAGTGATTGGAGTTAGAGAGGATACAATTAGTGTGCTGAGACAGAATGATTGGGGGGGGGGGGGTCCTACTTCAGACAGGATAGAAAAGGTGCTTCTGAGGAGGTGATCCTTAAGGTGATCTCAGGGCGAGGAAGAGTCAAATATGGAAATAACTGGGGACAGAGAAAACCAGGTGGAGGGAACACCAAGTGTGAAAGTCCAGAGGAGGCTGACTCTGCGTTGGTGACAACAGGCCTGCAGGCCTGGATGTAGTGTAGGAGAGCAGGACAAGCAATGTTCCCAGTTTTATGTTCACAGAAAAGTGCCCTGGGCAGATATAGGAGGCTGAACTCTGCTGACAGGAAGGAACCAGGCCTGTGGAAGGAAGCGGTGGGGCGGATGGGATGGGGAGCCAACATGCAGGGGGAGCAGGGGAGGCACAGGCCCCACTCCATGCCTCAGGCCCTTACCGGATAAGCCCGTCCTCAGCAGCACTCCAGAATGTGTTGGGCCACATGGGCGCTGTGGCGATGCGTTTCACCCGGTTTGTATGGTCTCCAAACATGTGGATCGTTTCCTTTACTGTCAGGTCGTGGACATGCACTTTGGAGTCGGCTGCCCCCGTGATCAAGATGCGGTCCCCAGCATGAGGCAGGAACTGCTCCAGAGAGATCGAAGAAGAGATTGGCAGGCAGTGTGGGTCGGGCTGGCCAAGAAAGAAGACTAGCCTGGATGTTAGTACCCTCTTTCCTTCATTTCGGGTAAGAAAATGAGCCCATCCAAGACAGTCCACTAAGGAAACTTTATCAAGCATCAGCCTACAGGCCCAAAGGTAAAAATTGGGACATATGCCTTTACTTTGGTGGAGTAGTCCTGACTTATGCCAAACTGAACTACCTATGAAAGCCTTTTCCTGACCCTTCCCCAGGTAAGAGCTGAGCAGGTGACAGTCACAGTTGTTACCATTTACTAAGTATTTACCATGCGCTAGACACTGGGCAGGTTCCTTATCTTACCGATATTTTAAATAACCCACTTAAAATTGAGGTTCAGCACTAACACTGAGTTAACTCGAGTCTGTCTGATTCTCATGTGAATACTGCCTCATGAGGACCATTTGATAACCTGAGAATTACATAACAAAGTAGGCTTAAAATGAAAAGGACTTCCAGTGTTTTAAGAAGAAAGTAGTATTTTAAGTTGGGTTCAAATATTTCTGGAGAACAATCTGGCAATAGGTAACAAAGTAAAAGATGTTTCTATCTTTTAATCCCACACTTCCACTCTTGAGAAATTTCTATTAGGAAAAAGGGACCTGTGCAGAAATGCTCAGAGCAGCACTCCTCGTAATGACAAATACTGGAAATGGCTCAAATGTTGGGCCCTGGGGAAGGGTTGAGCATCAGGAGGAACCATCTCCCTGCAACTGTTACAAAGAATGAGAACCCCGCCATTCAGATGAAGTTGAGAATAAAATATTCCAGATGACATGTGGTAAGAATAAAGCAGCCATAAATATAGCTCTGAACAGTAATCTTTAAAAGGTGTGCGGTTCTATCACCTAGCTTTGAGGAAGAAAAATATTTGGGTATGGCGTTAGTTGACTTTTTCTCTTCTTTCTTGAGTTAAAAAAATTTAATTATCTTCTTTTTTAACTGAAAAGTTCCTCCCAAACCACAACAAGGCTGAACCGGTGCTGGGGTTGGGGCATTAGTCTGCATTTAAAGAGCTCCAGTCCTACTTGACTTAATTGCTCAGGAAAGAGCAACAATTCACTCTTTCCACACACCACTGTCTAAGGGCTCACCAGAACAAGGGCTGGATGAAACAGACGGAATTCCATCATTTTTAGGGGCAACCAGGTAGTCTTTAATCCTGTCTGGAAACAGCATGTACTTCAGGCACAACAAAAGAGGGAGCTCTTGAGGCCTAGTGCCACACTCACACACTGTAGTTGCCACCAGGGGGAGCTTGTGGGTTAAATAAAAATACCTGTATTGTTACTACCAGAAGAGAGAAGAATCCTTTTCTACACCTTCACAGGAGGCTGAGGGTCTGCGAATTTAATTTTGGGCCTTGCCCCAAATCTCACTATTAGTATCAAGACCACTGTCAAATTCTGGTTTTTGAACTCAACGTTTTGTGCTCTACGATGCCAAAGCTGATGGCATAGGTCCCATTCCCAGATCCCACCCCACAGATTCAAATTGAACCTAATAACAATTTTCAGGGGGCAGAAAACAGTCTGTTTGCCATGCAAGAGGTGAATCAGCATTGTTCGGTCTCTAAAAACTGCAGAAAATTATCTAGGACTGGTCTCTGGAATAAGAGGTGAAAATGAGAGCTTGGGAAGGGGGCAGGGTTTAGGGAAATAAGTAGGTTCTCAGCTCTCAAATCTATCTTCTTCTTCATGTATCTTGTAATTCTTCTTGATACTAATTAGGGAAATATTTCTCAGATTAGTGAGGCTTTCCAAAGGACACTCACTCTCTCACATACATCCATTACAGAATTTCAGGGCTGGAAAGGTCCTTAAAGGTCATTTCCTCCAACCTTAAACCTGTCAGGTAAGTTCCCGTTGTGGAGAGTACCTCAGTGCTTGGACATTTACAATCTTCTCAAAGGGCCCATTCTACCTTTTCCAAACTCTAAGCGCTAGACCTGTCTCTCCATCAGCCCCACATTTGCTTCTGTGGACTTAAGAGCCAATAATCCCACGTCTGTTTTCTGAGATCAAAAGGCAGAAACTTCATGTCATTTCCACTTACAGGGCTTCAGAGGTATGAAGACATTTTTAAATCCTGTTCCCACCTCTCCTTAGCTCACTTTCACCAACAAATCTGTAGCTCGAATGTAGAATAGCTAAAAGTACCTATGCCAGGTACCTTTTTATAATCATCTCATTGAACTATAATACTAAGCCTATGGAGTGCTGCTTCCCTTTTAAAATTAAAGGCCTATTTATTCATTTACTCATGAATCCAGGGGATTTTCCTAAGCTACTTTGTATTTACAGATGAGTAAAGGGGCTCAGAGAAGTCAGGTGACTTGCCTAAGTCACACAGCTTCTAAGAGGCAGATAAGGGGGTCAAACATAGGTCTTCCTGCTATCTAAGCTCATGCTTGGAACCATACCACCCACCATCACCACTCAAATAAATATAAATTCACCTGGAGCTGGCCTTGTGGCTCTAAGTGAGGAAGGAGAACATGGAAAAGAGATGGGGTTTCAGGAATCACAGTCAGATGGCTCAGATCACAAAGGTGTCTGTGACCCCAGGGGGTATGTGGAACCCAAATGGGCAAATACAACCATGTGCACAGCCCAGTCATGCCTCTTACTTGCTCTATGCCTTATCCTGCTCACCTTGACAGAGAAGATATTTGCCGTGTGTCCTGTATGCATGGAGAGCAGCTTCTTGTGGTGCAGCGGGTCCCACACAATCGTGTGCTGGTCATCGGAACCAGAGGCCAGCAAACTGCAAGCAGAATGAAAGTTTCTGACCTCTCTTCGAGTTCCTAGGTCCTACTCCCCTACCCCACCTCCCCTGTTCATAGGGAATAAATCCACAGAGAGTGTGACGAACAGGAGATATCACGGAATTCAAGGTTATCTTGTAAACATTAGTTGAGTCTCTTCTATTTTGTCCTAAGGATTTCTCATTATTCCTTAAAGGCATTAGATTATTAAAAAAAAAACAAAAAACAGGGTTTGGGTGGTCATCCAATTCATTGTTCAATTGTGTGTTGATAGTGATGGACTAAACTTAAGTACACAGGAAAGTCTCTTTTCCTTAGATCTACTAAGGAGGAGGAAAGTCCCTTCTCCCAGCCTCCCCACTCCCGTCCCCAGCACCTTCTCAGATGCTCTAGCTCATACTCACTCTCCTTTCTCGTTCCACTCCAGACAGTTGACACATCCTGAGTGACCCTGGGGGAGCAAATGGAAAGGGACAAGAAGAGAGCCAGTTAGAGATTCTCTCGGGAAATGAAACACCAAGAAGTAGAACTAAACAGGTAAACTGGCCTTTCCATCATTAGTGTTTTGCTGGTGCATGTGAATGACCAGAATTGAATTAAACTGCCTAGTATCTTACAATATATAAAGTATTTTCATAATCATGATCCCGCTTAATACTGAACACCTCAGCCTGTTGTTTTTTTTTTTTAAGACTTTATTTGAGAGAGAGAGAGAGAGAGAGAGAGAGAGTGAGAGCACAAGCAGGGGGAGCAGCAAAGGGAGAGGGAGAAGCAGGCTCATCGCTGAGCAGGGAGCCTGATGCAGGGCTCGATCCCAGGACTGTGAGGATCACAACCTGAGCCAAAAGCAGATGCTTAGCTGCCTGAGCCACCCAGGAGCCCCCACCTGAGCCTTTTAAATAAGGCCACATTTCATTGATCCTATTTTGCAGAAAAGTAAACTAAAGTTCAGACCAAAGTAAGCCATGGAAGTGAGACAAACTTCTGCTCCTACCACTAAAATGGGCATGTCCCCTTCCAGGGACATCCCCCTCAGCCACAGAAAATTTGCCCAGAGGAATACCTGACCCAAAGGCAGCCAATTAACTAGAAGGTTGATCTTTTGTCCATTTGGCATATAATTTAATTTGTCAGGCACCCACTGCGTATCAGGTACTGTTTGACACTGGGCATACAGCCGTATACAAAACAAAGTCCCTGATCTCCCGGAGCTTACTTCAAGTAGGTGGAGCCTGGTATAGTAAGGTTAATTGGGACAGAGTCTTGAGCTTTGGGGGTCTGAATTGAGAAACATGGAGAGAGAGAGGCAGTTAGTAGCAGACACTGAAGGTAAAAGCATCCACAGAGAGGAATCATGGTAAAGCCAGAGCAATGAGGAAAGAAAACCCATGAAAAACAGAAGGTATCAAGTGGCAGAAGTGAGTCTTACATGGGAGAAGGAAGGAACAAGTCACCAGGCATTCCTATATACTATTGTCTGTTCTCCCACCCTCCTTTATTCCTAACGGTACCTAGATTTTCATTTATTTAATTCCCTATTCCAAATAAGACCATGTGTTTCAGCAAGTATAAACCCACTGTCCTTGCCATACTGATAGGTTTAGCAACTTAGGCCTTAGCCAAATTGGACATGGCATTCACCTGGGCACAGGGATTGGCTGAGAAGTAAGCCTGTGACCCCAATCAGATGCTAGGGACACAGCCGCTGGGAGGATTCTGAAAAAGGCATTTCCTCATTCTCAGAAGAATCTATGAGAGACGCCTTTCTTCCTTGGATGCTGGGTGTATAGCTGGACTTGGAATGGCCACACAAGGGAAGCCAGCCTGAGAGTGACGTCAACACACAGAAGACAGCCCAGTCAAAGGGAATCACACAAAAATAGAGCAAGACTGACCAGAGTAACCAATACTGACACCTACTCCACTTCTGGACTTTTAGTTAAATGAGACACTCAGTTCATTATTAAGGTCTTCTGACTTGCGTTGCTACTTGTAGCCCAACGCATGCCAACTGGTAGTTCCAGCTAAGCTCCCAGTTTATGGATACTTCGTTCAAGATGCCTTTCCTGTCCTGTAAATTTGGGAAGGAGATATACCCTTCCTTGTGGGCTCCTCCTGTCACACTGGACTATGGCTCTGTGTTGACATGATTTTTTTTTTAAAGATTTCATTTCTTGGGCACCTGGGTGGCTCAGTGGGTTAAAGCCTCTGCCTTTGGCTCAAGTCATGATCCCAGGGTCCTAGAATGGAGCCCCACATCGGGCTCCCTGCTCAGCAGGGAGCCTGCTTCCCTCTCTCTCTCTGTCTGCCTCTCTGCCTACTTATGATCTCTGTCTGTCAAATAAATAAATAAAATCTTTCCAAAAAAAGATTTTATTTAAATAAATAAAAAATCTTAAAAAAAAGATTTTATTTCTTTATTTGAGAGAGAGCATGAGAGTGGGGAGGGTCAGAGGGAGAAGGAGGCTCCCCACTGAGGAAGGAGCCCAATGCAGGACTTGATCCTGACACTCCAGGATCATGACCTGAGCTGAAGGCAGTCGCCCAAACAACTGAACCATCCAGGTGCCCTCTCTGTTGACATGTTGACATGTTCACTAGACTGAGCCTGAGAAAGCAGGCTTTGTGTCTTGTATTCATCGTATCCCCTAGGCCAGATACAGAGCCTGGAACATTATCTGTTGCCTGAATGAACAAATGAGTCCAGTGGGACAAGCAGGAAGGATCGAGAAATATGAACAAATCTAATTCCCAAGTATCTGGTTAGGCTTATTTTATTTTTTAAGATTTTATTTATTTAAAGGAGAGAGAGAGTGTGCACCCACAAGTAGGGGGAGGAGCAGAGGCTGAGAGAGAACCAGATTCCCTGCTGAGCAGGGAGACCAATATGGGGCTCGATCCCAGGACCCTGAGATCATGACCTGAGTCAAAGGCAGAGGCTTAACTGACTGAGCTACCCAGGTGTGCCCGCAACTATCTGGTTAGAAATGCTTTTCTTCTGCCTTCTCCTTCCCTCTTACCCTTTGCCCTATAAAGATTCTCATCTGGGTTGAACCACATTTCTTTCCGGGTTCTGCACTTACGTGCATTCACTCTGTTCAGACTTGTCAGACCACTTACTGACCTGAACCTCTCTCACATTCCCATGGCACTCAGCTGAAACTCCCACACGTGGCTCTGGTCACTCTTTTTGGGTCAGAATAACTTCTATCCTCAGCAGTTTCATTTTCCCACCAGGATGTAAATTACTGTGCCTAGGGTCGCTTCACATCACAGGCCTTCAGTAATCGCCACTTAGTGAGGGCTTACAAAGAGCAAGCACAGTGTTAATTACTTGTGGTAGGCAGAAAAATGGCCCCTGATGTCTGTGTCCTGATCCTCTGGAACTTATGAATATGTAATGTCTGGTGGCAAAGGGGACTTTGCAGATGAGATTAAAGTTAAGGTCTTTGAAATGGGAAAGTATTCTAGGTTATCCAGGTGGTCACAATATGATCACATGAGTCCTTAAAATCAGAGAACCTCTCCTGGCTACAGAGAACTTGAGAGATGTAGGTGTGAAAGGGATCTGTCCTGTTATTGCTGGCTTTGAAGATGGAAGAAGGGGCTTATGGGTCAAGAAATACAGCAGCCTCTAGGAGTTGGGAATTGCAAAGGAACAGATTCTACCCTGCAGCCTCCAGGAGGAACACAGCCCTGTCAAGATCTTGCTTTTAGCATAGTAAAACCTGGGTCAGATTTCTGATCTACAGAAATGAGATAAGAAATTTGTGTTGCTTTGAGCCACTAAGTTTGTGGTAACTTTGTATGGCGGTAACAGGACACTAATACAGCACTCTATATCCATTAACCTATTTAAGAAACAGGTATCACTACTCATTTCACAGATAAGAAAAGCAATACTCAGAGAGGTTAGGTAACCTGCTGTGATATTGTAATTTATAATAAGAAATACATATTTGGTCTTCTTTGCCATTTCTGTGCCCCTAGAAGCCCTTGGGATTTCCTAGTGATAACACAGAAAAACATGTCTTGATGTTCATAACAAATCCCTTTTAACCTTAACACCTGAGTTTACGTATTAAGTGATTTTTGGAAAGCACCTAAGGATGGGGGCTGGTTTCCAGAGGAACCAACCATATGATTGGAGGGTTAGAACCTTTAGTCCTAGGGATGCCTGGGCGGCTCAGCTGGTTGGGTATCTGCCTTTGGCTCAGGTCATGAGCCCAGGATCCTGGGACCCTTGTCAGGCTCCCTGATCATGCTCTGTCATTATCTCTGTCTCTCTCTCTCTCTCTCTCTCTCAAATGAATAAATAAAATCTTAAAAAAAAAAACCAAAAAACTTTCAGTCCTACTCCCCAGAGGTCAGAGGAACTGGAGGTTGACTAGGTCACCAATGGCCAAAATTTTAGTCAGTCATGCCTATGTACATGAAGCCTCCACAGAAACCCAAAACAACTGGGTTCAGAGAGCTTATGCATTAGTAAACATGTGGAGATTTGGTGGAGAGTGGCACATTCCAAGAGGGTGTGGAAGCTTTGCACTCCTTCCTACATACCTTGTCCTAGGCATCTTTTCTATCTGGCTGTTCCTGAATTATATCCTTTTAGAATAAAGGGTAATCTGGTAAGTAAAATGTTTCTGAGTTCTGTGAGCCACTCTAGCAAATTAATCAAATCCAAGGAGGAGGTTGCTGGAACCTCCAATCTATAGATGGTGAGTCAGAAGCACAGGTGACAACCTGGATTTGTGATTGGCATCTGAAGGTCGTGGTGCAAGGGGCAGGGCCATCTTAGAGGACTAAGCCCTTAACCTGTGCAATGTGATGCTATCTATCCCCAGACTGACAGTGGCAGAATTGAGTTATATTGTAGGGCACCTATTTGGTGTTGGAGAGTTGCTTGATGGTGTGTAAAAAGAACCCCCCCACCAACACACACTGGACCTGGCACCACTAACAGGACAGGAAGCAGGATTTTTCACTTGAGAGCCTGAGCTCTTAAGTACTGTCTGAGAAATGGATGAATGTCTCTAGAATTACTGTTTATTTGTCCTCAAATCAGTAATGCCTCTCAAGTACAGAAGACAGAGGCCAAGTAGACAAACATGATACTTAGGATTAATTTTCACATGGTAAAACCTAGCTTAGAGGTGGGTAAGTTGAAGAGAATATAGAGAGAAAGCTCAAACCAGATTCTACAAAAATATAAAGTAACTATTGACAAAAAGTATTAATAAAGGACTTTACAAGTTAAAACACCTGTTTGGGAAGCTACTTTATAAGGAATAGAGTGTTTCAGAGGAGTTATTTTGGCCCTGATAATTAAAGCTGGCTTAGATATATGGTCACAATCTATAATTACATCGTAGAATACAACGGAAGAAAATATGCCTATGACCTATCAGAATTAAAATGTGAGTAAAAAATAAAGGGATAAAGCCTCAAACT